TACCAAACTGTTATGGCACATATTCCAAGACACTAAAGAGATACAGAACTTCACCAATAAAGCAATTCCTAGACAGTTCAAAGAAAAAAAATAGCTAAACATAGACAGGATAAATACTGTATCCCACAGCAGGAATGGGGAAATGGATAGAACATGTGAAAGGGTTCACCCTCATGATGAAGTCCTGTGTCTCTTTATGATCTTGGAATGTGTTCTTGCTCTTTTCTGCATTATTTTAAATTTTCAGGTGTAGAATGTTGAGCACTCTCTGTTCTCACGCATTGTTGTTTTTTTTTTATTTTCCTTTTTTGCTGTTCAAGTCTGATTTATTTGAATTGTTTCTTTGTTCATTAGGTCATGTCTGTTTATTTATCTACATCTGTGTATATCTTTCTAAGTTTATATCTATGTTTACACCTTTCTACATTTAAGTCTATCCATGTCTGTCTACATCTATGCATGTCTGTCTATATCTATTTACATCAACCATTCGCCCTTCCATGGAGTATTGCTGCCATATATGGTCTGGAGCCCCTTCTGTTTGCCTCGGGGTTCATGATAAGATCCAGAGATGGATATGCAATATAATTGGCCCTGATCTGGCATCTCGTCTGCAGTTGCTCTCTCACAGATGTGCCGTCACCTCTCTCTGTCTTTTTTACAAATACTTTCATGGTAATTGCTACAATGAGCTGCTTTCGCTGGTTCCCAGACTTTGTGAATTCAAGCATCCTACGAGGCTGGCATCACGCTCTCACCCTTTCAATGTTGAAACTGTTAAATGTAGCCACCTCTTCTACTCCAATAGCTTCATATCTTGCACCTCTCGCCTGTGAAACTCCCTTCTCTATTCCTGTTTCCCTGATAGCCATAATCTCTAACTATTTAAATGTAATGTCAATCAACATCTCCAGTTGCCTTGATCTATCCACTATCCTTCTTCTCATCCTTTCCTCTATCATTCCTATCTGCTCTCGCTCCAAATCCTCTATAACCCCTTGCATGCTAGTGGCTTCCTGCCTTGCTAGGAGTGAAATGCTTAAATATATGTATATATATATATATATATATATATATATATTTTGATTATAGGTGCAGTTCAATTTATAATTACATGAATCATTCATATATATATATATTTGTTTTTGTATGAATGATTCATGTAATTATATATATATATATATATATATATATATATATATATATATATATATATATATATATATATATAAAAAATTATAACATAAGCATGTTATAAAATCACTACAAAAATAGCCATTTTGTTTCAACACACTCTGTGTCTTATCAAGTGATGATGTTGAAAAGAAAATAAATGGTTTTAAAAGTTTCAGATTAATTAACGATCCTACTAGGGGAAACATTGTTACAAAAGCTAGAATAACCAATCAAAAACGAAGTATAGAAAGATTCAAAAGCTTGACAATGAAATCCTGCTCTAATAGCTATTCAGATCTTTAAATACGTGTAATATTAAAAATAATTTATACTAACTAATAATTATAAATTTACATGATAAAATTTAATATTAAAATTAAAAACTGGCAATTTTAAAATCCAAATTTAATCACTATTAAGTTTAAAAACTACAAAATTATTGAGAAAAAAAAAATATATATGTTTATTCAATTCATTTCTTCATTGAAATTACGTTCGACAAGACAAGACGCTATAATACATCCGTCATTTGATAATACATGTATATATATTTTTTCTTTTCCCTTTCTTTTCCGTTTTTATTTTAAAGTTTGTGAATATGGTCTTAAACTCACGCGTGACACAACAAAAACATTCAGATTATAATACATAAGCATCCAGACATAATTAGATACACACACACACACACACACTAAAAAAAAAAAAAAAAAAAAGAAAGAGGTGGGGAATACATGAACATCTCTACAGCCCTTTATGAAAAAAAAGGAGACGTGGAAACTAACAATACTTATACACACACACAGTTAAATGTGAATACACTCTACATACACATAGACACCGATATATACACATACATACATCCACAGACAATGGCATAGACATTGAGAAATCACAACCAGTAAATATTTCAGACTTAAATAAATGCTAACCACTTATTGAATTAACTTAAGGGAGCAAATATACAAAGATAAAAAAGTTTAAAATAATACTATTTAATATATTAAAACGAAAATTCTAAAACCATAAATATCAATAAAAATATATATATTATTAATCATATAAGTTGATAATAGTTTCATTATATATTTGGCAAAAGAAAAACAGGATAAAGAAATCCACAAATATATACATATATATATATATACACGGCAGCAAAAACAAATTAACACACATAAATATATACTCATACATACATATACATACAGAAATACATACAAATAAATATATAAACATAAACATATACGTACATATACATATCTATGATAACAAGTACACATATACATATATACATATAAACCTAAATACACACACATATATACACATAGACTTTTATGCACACATACTTAGATATATAAAAAAAAACAGTCATGATATACCAAAGTTTCCATACCCACACATATACACAAACAAACACATACATAATAGGTGCTAAACACACACATATATATATATATACATACACAAACATACATAAATATATATACACACATACATACATATCTACAAATAAACATATATATATAAATAAATATATCTATCTACAATAACAACTACCCATATATACATGCATACATAAAAATACAACAACATTCAACCAAATACATATCTAAACGAACTAACATATAGATACATAAATATACCTTCAAACACCAACACACAGCAATATACATATAGTCTAACATACAAATATATAAACACATTCATACAAACAGAAATATACTTAAATATAAATACACATACACAATAAAATAGGACATACAGATATATATATATATATATATGCACACACATATATATATATATATATATATATATATATATATACACACATACATACACACATACACATACACATACATATATATATACAAATATATCGTGGCACAAAGCCGAAATTAGGGGGTACCCAGTGAGGAACGAACTCATTCCTCAGTCGCACCTAATCTAGCGAACCATGCTGGCCGACCATTATACTGCCGTGATTTTATCATACATATACATGTACATACTCATACATATACACATATACACACATACATACATATATATATGTATATATATATATATATATATATATATATCCAACCACATACACACATATATATATATATATATATATATATATATATATATATATATACAAACATATATATATATCTACATACATACATATACACACATACACACACAAATACATACATATACACCCACCCATACACACATACATATATAGGCACACACATACACATATACAGCAACAATTAACCTTTTCTCTTATAATCTACCTTACCTTCCCACATAATATATATATATATATATATATATATATACACACTCACATATATATACATACATACACACCCCACACATACACCCACACATATAAAAAAATATATATATAGATCGATGTAAATAGATATCAACATAGACCTAGAAAGATGTGTGTGTGTGTGCATGTATAATGTATAATATATATATATGTATATATATGTACACACACACACACACATTTATTGAAGGTCATGACTCAGGACCAAGAGCAGAAAGATCATTCTCATCTGGGTCCTGAAGTGTGAAGAATCACAAAACTCACTTGACCATTGATAAGTATTGGCAACTTGGGATATTTTTGATACCATGATTATTGCTAAAGATTCTGTTCAGCTTGACATACACTGAATTATGTAATTTGATATATTAATAGGTGTCATACTATTATATATAATTGTTTAAAATTTGTAATATTTATGAAAGAGTATTTAGTATTAGAGATAATATACACACACACACACACACACACACACACACACACACACACACACATATATATATATATAATGCTAATACATACACACACATATATATAATGCTAATACATACACACACAGACATATATATATATATAAAACATATCAATGGCTACTGAAAAAAGTGCTCTACCCATACCACTTCATGAAATATGACAAAACTTGTTTTTTTTTTTTTTTTTTTTTTGGAAACTGTTTTTAGTCTGTTGTTCATGTTGGAACTTGTCCGTCTTTTAGAAAGTTGTTATTTGCAATCAATAACTGTAGAAATCAATACATGCAGTTACATTTAAGTGTACAGGATCAATGCATCAACCTTTAAATGCAGGTCACATGCACATATAAGCAGAGAGACAAATGTGCATCTGCACAGATGCACATAATAATCTGAGTTGGGAAGATGATGTTGCTCATCTGATAAAAATGTTTTAGTAATTTATTGTATCATATAGTTAATTGGGTGATATATTTTTGTACTGCTTATCAACCGTTTGCAGGTTATTTAAAGCCAGAAAATATTTATAGATTGTAAAAAAAATTTTTTTTTTGTGATAATGTTTAACTGATACAAATCCTACTAATTAGCCCATAGCTTTTGGGGAGAGGCAGTGGATTCATACTTTCCTCAAGATTGTGCATAAGTGAATATAAGAAACCCAACTGGAATTGGAACTTGGCTCACTGACTTTGAATTCTGAGCTGTTATCCATTACACTTACTGTTGTGTACGATACACCTAATTTACATAAGTGGAGTACCGACCATATAAATATGGGTTGGTACCGGAAGACCAGGGAGTAAGATAGTAGTAAGAAGAGATCGAATCGAGAGACTCTGCCCGACTGCGATTTAGTCAACCCATTCTGCAGGAACAGTCTTCCCAAGAATATACCAAAACTAACTGTAAATATTGTGTACCCTTTCCTTGTTTCAATACATTTTGTTTACGTACATTTTGTGTTGTATTATTATTATTCCATGCTTATCCAAGTTTCAACACTTACCCACACATCCAAGCTTGCAACACCTGTTATACTCAAGTGGTCACCCATCTAGGTACTGACTAGGCTCAATGCTGTTTATCTTTGGTGATTGTATGAGAACTAGTGTTGTTTCAATGTGACATGGCTGTAAGCATCTTATTTGAAAATACTTCATATGAAATCCTAATTAAATTATTTATCTAAGATCATTCTGGCTTTAATTAAATCTTATCTTTGTACTTATTCTATTTAATTAGTATTTATTCTACTTAATTAGTATTTAAGAGTTGTTCTTGGGTCATGGGATTTACTTAACTTCTCTCTTTGGCATCTGTTTATCTCGCAAGATGAAGGCAGTGCATTGTTTGGTCAAAAGGAATTACTTTGGTGATGAAACCAAAGTGACCTCTCCAGTTTGCAGGCCTGGGTGAGGATATATGTTATCCATTCACTGCACAGACTACATGCTCACCCCTTCTCAGTTGCATCGACAAGATCCAAAGGAATAGGACATGTGGACAGCTTGGCTGCAGGAGTTGTTGGAAAGTTGTCAGTGTTCACAGTCAACCGTCTTCAGAGCTCCACTCTGGGTTTTCTGCCTGGATTTACTTCCATAACCTTTTCCATATTTTGGATATTACAACAAGGGAGTAGAGGTTTAAAATCAGGGTTTTCCTTCCCATGCCTTACTGGACTGTCAAGCTCCATCTACAAGCAGCTGATTATGAGGCACCAGTTCTCCATCTTTTTCCAGGCTTTGGCTTGGAGCTAAACTTAGTTGTCCGAAGCTATTTGAGACACAGGTCATGAAAGCATTTTATAGACCTTAGATGCTATGACAACCTTTGGAACATAATGTATACATGATGTAATGGAATAACCTGTCACCTCCATGAGTGACTACACAATAGGTAGTAACTACCTATAAGTATCTGTAAGTCAACAGACTACAGAGTCTAGTTGTGACCTGTTCCAGCTAGACAGTCAAACTCTCTGCCTTTGGGCAGAGAGGAACCTGGACGAGGCTCTGCCAAAGGGCAGTCTCTCGTTCGGTGAGGTAGACTGCCCCTGAGCCCGTTTATGCCAGTTCAAAGAGGGAATATTTTTGACTGGGCCTACGGGCTCGGAGAACCCATGTTAAACCAGCCTTGTGCCACATGCAACCCGTGTGGGGGAGGTAGCTAAATATACTAGCTGGGATCTGTTGAGTACAACTCAAACTTATGCAAGAACTACCAACCTTCTAATAGTAGCCCTCACTACTGGATTGACTTGCGACGACCTTGTGCATAACTGTTACCTTTAGTCTTATTGTACTGGTTTTTTTACAATGAACCTTTACTTATTTTATCCACTTTGTTTTTCAAGTATCTATTCCTATTAGAACGGAATATGACAATATATATTATATATATAAACATTTATATACAAGACCTGTTTTAGAATCTCCAAAACCAAAAAACTTCTAAATTCAGTATAAGCAGGAGTTTATTAGATATTCATTTGGGATCTACAGGAGTTTATTTGACTACTATATTCTTATGAGTATTTTACTCTGAGTTAGTTATACTTGTTAATAAAATAAAACAATTCCAAAAATCATTGTGCATCTTATACTCTGTTGGATTTGAGTATATGATAAAAAAATGTAAACATTCTTTTTTATCGCACTACACTGCATCTCATTAGATTAATTGCTTTTTATATTACAAAAAAGTAATGAAGAGATTCACAGAAATATTTTCACTGTTAATATGCAGGATATTTCACTTTTGTGAAATTTATAATAGACTGCATGTCACGCTTATGCTTTTCTCCCATTTGTAAGTTAGCACATGTTATTCACTGTCATTACAACAGATAAATTATAGATCATTCCATTTTGATTGTGAGTAAAGACATAAGGAAAAATCACATCAGAGATGCTGTTTGCTTGTAGTGAGAAAAAGAAAGCATACAAAATTAATAAAGAAAGGGAAGATATAATAGGCGATAATACTCTCATATATTTAACGTCTGCTTCATGAAAATGGAAAACTTGTCAATTTTAAATCTTTTCATTGATACCTTCTTACTGTTTTTTTTAAATAATGAGCTGCATTCATATTTATGATTGTTATTGTGATATTTTGCTAAAGTTGATATGTTCAAATATTTAATGATGCAGTAGAGGGATTTCCATGGTTATCTTATTTTTGTGGAACTCGCAAGAAGCTTATTCAACCATTAAATTAAGAATTATGATTCATCAGAAAATTAAAATAGAACAACTGTGAAATTTTCACATTAACTGCTACTTTTTATGAAATTTACTGGATTTTCCAAGTTTCACATTATTTGCCAGGTTCCTTAAAAATTGGTGTCAATTATCCTGGTAGGAATGACTGTAAAATACTTCCCCCTCCCCAATTTATAGGCAGAAGCTTTCAATTATAAAAAATAAAAATAATATATATATTGTATTTAAAATTGATGGGATTTATATTTAAAATAAAAATAATGAAAATACAAATCTTGGCAATTTTAAATAATGATTTTTTTTTTTTAATTTTTGTTTTTAATAATAAATTTTATTTTTTTTATTATAGTTTTAGGTCTTTTCATTTTTTTATATATATATATATATATATATATATATATATATATATATATATATATATATATATTTATTATCTCATAATTAAGTAATTCATCAAGTCTAGAAGAATCCTCAACAGAATGTAGAAAGCACTGGATGGCCATTTTGTCCTATTTTGGGACTCATCAGCAGTGTGGATTCACTACCAAGAATCGAACCCAGACCATTACAGTGACAAAGAGGTAACAAACTAGACTTGATATAGCAAGTCTACTAGTAGACTTGGATGAGTCGCACAATGGAATTTTTGAAGAGCATGCGCAATATCGAGTCTAGTTTGTTACCTCTTTGTCACTGAGACCCATTAGTCTAGTGAGTATGATGTTTGCATCATATTGTAATAGTCTGGATTTGATTCTCAGTAGCAGATGTGCACTGCTGATGAGTCCCAAATATAGGACAAAACAGCTGTCCAGTGATTTCTGTATTCTGTTGATCAAAGGGGATCCCCCGGGGGCACAAACCCCCATCGAAAATTTTCTTCCCCTTTGATTTAAATTAAATTTAAATTTGGACAAGAGACTGACTCCTATCCAAAATATAGGAGAAAACCAGAAGATGGAGGTCACCTCAGCAAGATCATTTTGATCAAAGGCAGTCCCCAGAGGGCACAAGCCTCTGACTGAAAATTTTTTCCCTTTGATTTAAATTGAATTTAAATATGAACAAGGGAAAGACTCCTATCCAAAATATAGGAGGAGAAAACCAGAAGATGGAGGTCAGATCAGCAAGATCATTGAATAATAATGAAATGCATAATTTTTTTTCTTCACAAATTATAGCAATGATTTAAAATCAGTCATCATTTTCTTACAAAAAAAAAAATGTGTGACACTCAGCAAGGCACAGGTAATTCAGCTAGTGTATATATATATATATATATATATATATATATATATATATATATATATAAACCAAAAAGTTCCCGGTCATTGGATTTGATAAGGTAATTTAATCGCTCCCCTCATCCACAAAAATATCAATGCATTTTCCTTACACACAGTTTTGTCTTTCATCCTGACTTGAAGAAGCCAAGACCAACAGACTTTTGTGAAATACATTGCCTATAGATATTCCATTTTCTTTCATTATCTTCACTTTTATTTCAGATACTATTATAGATTCTACAAACACACACATATATATATATTCCAACCAAGTATTGAAAAATTCATCAAAACAAAACATGAAACATTCTTTCATAATGAAATACACAATTTAGCTGAAAGATGGCATAAGCTCATGAAAATTAGGGGAAAAAATTTGAATACTTAATAACAATGTTATTAATTTTTGTATTGACCTAATAAATGCATACTTATCAATATATATATAAACAGTTCCTATAATGAGGAAAATTTTTCACAGGAGTGTTATTAGTAAAGAGGAAGTTCCACTTGGACAACTTCTTCCTAACAACTTACTTTGTGGAACCCTCCAGAGAGGATGCTTCCTCAATCACTGTTAACCTCTTAAGTCTATGGTCGACCATTATCTATCCTGTATATCCTCATAATATGCACTTATTACCCTTCTTCCCTTTACACATTTAGAACCTCATTCAGTAACACTCTGCCATGACTGGCTCTTGAGCCTTGTATTGGATGAACAATAGCATATAATTAAAAAAAAACAGGACATACTGAAGACGAGAGGTAGAGGGAAACAGTGAGTAACAAGTTTGCGTAAATGGATTGTAGAATAGAGAATGGGAGGGATAGTAAAAAGAAACATTGCTAAGAGCTACATATGTGAGGATGTTGTAGAGAGCCTTGATATACCATGTGTTGAAGTGTCAGGATACATAAAAGAAGAAACCTTTTCTCCTGCTTCACTGTTCTTAACTTTATTATTTTAACCATTTTTGCCATTTTCTGGTTGTCGGAAAAAAAAAACAGTTGGTGAAGGCCAGTTATTGGTTGCAACATACCAGTTTCAATATCTTAAGTGTGACGATAGACACTATTATTACTAATGAATAGCATACATAATTTTTTATGCCAACAGAAGCACTAGTATATTCTTGAGTAGCAAGATTACTTGTGATAGAGAAGCAATTCTTTGTTTGTAGAGAAAAGTGACATAAAGTTAGGGACCTCCAAAAATTTGCTAAAAATGGAGGATACATGATGAGTAAAAGCCCAAAACATGATAAAAACAAAAATGATCCCTCAAAATTTTTGTGTTGTTATTAAGAGGAAAGATCAAAAGATTTTTTTGATGTAAACATTTATTTATTTTTTTATTGTTTTTAAAATCTTGGAAATTTATATATATATATATATATATATATATATATATATATATATATATATTAGAAATTTTTTTTTTTTTCTATCAATGTAGGAACTTAAATTTATACGGAAAATTCGAGCATCTTTTTTGTCGTGAAAAACACATTGATTTGGAAATTCTTGCAAAATCAGATAATTGTCAATTAAATGGACAATGTCTGACAATTATTTTAAGACATTTCATAATGTGTGACGTTATTTGCTTATATTTGGATAC